TGGAGAGCTCGGCCTGCGGCGCCTGCAAGCCGGGGCAGCCGTGGAAGGGCTTCGCCTTGGCCTTCTCCTGCAGCCCCGAGTCTCTCTTCAGCCAGTCCGAGATCTGGCTTCCCTATTTTTTGTAGGATATTTTATTTGGTAGCTTTGACAACAGCAAGCCGTTGCCAGTCATGACTGTTGACACCTGTTCTGCTAATAAATCTGCGTTGTGACTGCTCCTCGGGTGGGCGTCTCGTACTGCTCTGTTGTTCCCGTAATATGTCCGGTATTAAAGTAGGCTTCTGGGTTGCGCTTTTCCTTGTTTTCCATAGAGAAGGCTTTTTAGTCTGTGCAACAAATGTTTAGGAATGTGTTCAGTGCTGGTGTGCATCAAAGTAGTTTTGGTTATCCTGTATTAACTGGCCAGTTTCCAATTTAGGAAAAAAAAAAATCAGGGTAACGATTTATTTTATACAGGGGTCAGCTTTTCCTGTCAGTTATGCAAGCAGAGTCATGGGAAGACAGCATTGCCTTCTGTAAGTATAAAAGATCCTCCTTGTTTTCATTTCTCCCCCCACATCCCCTAAAAAATCCAACTTTAGTGCTGATTTTATACTTTCACACTTGTTTAGAAACAGTGACTTGATGGGAGTTCGGCTGGCTGGATCCCAAGTTGGTATTCAGGAGACTAAGACTAATCCTTTGGTAAGTGTTTCATAGGAACACTTGTATGTTTGATATGATCTTAATTATAAAAAGGGTGTATAGAAAAAACAGGTTTTTTCTATTTCAGCTTTTTTAAAAAAAGCCTGTCCTAGTTTGCAGTAGAGAAAGGAGCAGTTTTGCTCATTCATAACTGAGATCTTTTCTTCAGCAAGATTCCTGTAGCTCATGGTTTGCTACGAGAAGGCGAGTCTGGGAATGCACAACTGCTTTTGCATTGGGCTCTGTCTCTTGCACAGTTACTTGCCTGCGTAGCCGATGCCCTGTGAAATACCAGCTTTTTGGCCACACTGAGGGTTTGGTGTGTGGAAAAGCCCATGAAGGTTTGTGGTGGACAGAGCCGAGCACCTCGGTTTTCGCTTGGCCTGGGGAGCGCCCTGTTAAATCTGTGTCCAGCAAGGCCAGTCCTGCACAGTGCGAGACCTGCAGCCTGGGCCCTTTCTCGCGCGCGTGGCACCTGCGGAACCTGTCGCTCTGCAGGTTCTGGGAGCCAACCGGGTTGCTAGAGGAGCGCTGAGCCCAGGCCAGCCAAAATCAAAGCTCTCCCTAAAAGTCCTAAGTTCCCCCTGGACAAACAGGAGGGATGATACGTGTGTCTGGGGAAACCTGCCATGTCTTAGGAAATTGCTTTCTTTTTTAGGCAAGTGATAACTTTGGTCTTTCCTTCCAAAACACAGGTATCTATTTCAGATGAGCCAGAAACTCTGTACAAGAGATTGTCCCTTTTAGTGAAAGGCCATGATCCGGCGGTGCTGGACAGCTACGAGTACTTTGCGGTGCTTGCAGCCAAAGAACTTGGCATCTCTATTGAAAAAGTGTAAGCAGTTGATCTCTGGCACAGTGTGGTAGCAGCTTCTTTTTACATCATCTGCTGTAGTTATAATTCTGTGTTAACTACGTCTTTCTTTTTTGCATCTAGAAACAGTAAGTGCTTTCCGACAGCATTTCTTCTTAGGTTAGAAATCTAACACTTACTAGATGACAGTGCAGTGATCAGAAGGCAGCAGCAGTTACACACTCAGTACTGTCCCAATAAAACTTCCTTTTAACCATGCTTAAGGGTATTGACAGACCTCTAATTAGAGCTGTCAGTGTTCTGGTTTATCTGACCTAATGCTAGTTAATACCAGAGTATTAACCATGCACCTACGGGTTAAAACTGAGCTGTACCAGTGCCTAATACTGCCTTGCTTATATTCTCAATGTCAAAAAGGAACCAGCATCTTAAGATAATCTTTCAGATAACTTATATTTGTATCCTTTCTATAAAATACAAAATTTTCTGTTTGTCCTTTTTCAGACACAGACCTCCAAAAAACATAGAACGATTCACGCTTCTAAAATCCGTGCACATTTTCAAGAAACACAGAGTTCAGTATGAAATGAGAACACACTATGTCTGTTTAGAGGTAAGATGTGTGTGTGGCGGGGGGGATGCATGTTGTAGATGCATAATTCAAAGGCATTAATATATGAGTAGTTGAATAGTTCAGGAGTGAACACAAACTCTTAGTTATCACTTAACCAGACTAGGGATAAGAGTGCTGAGAACAGTAGAGAAGAGCTAACCTAGGTGCATGAAATAGCCTGACAGTCAGAATGACTTGTGTCTGTGTAGACTTTTTTAGACCAAAAGG